ATTCAATCCAGTCCTCTTTGCTAGTGGGATCTCACCCCGTGGAACCAAGGTCCGTCTTGGAGGGATCAGTATGTCTTAGGCTAGGTAAAGAAAAAAATCTTAACCATGGTGGCATGGACTTTTGAAAAAATAAAGAAACAACGGCGGAAGCGGCATGTTTTGAGTTCCTAAAGGCACGAAAAACAGTCCTTCGGCGACTGTGTCAGGGCCTGAGTTCGAAAAGGCGCGCAGTGGTGTCAGGGCGGAGGTTTCATTAAGGCGGTTGTGTCTTTCTTTTTTTTTTTTCTTTTTTTTTTCTTTCGGTCGGTCGCCCCGCGCTGCGCCGTGCTGCGGCTGGAAAAAAAAAAAAAAAGAAAAAAAAAAGAGGTGTATTGGCCCCATGGTCGGGCCACGGCAGAGATGTCTCGGCCACACCCCAGATTGGCCACGGCCGAGATGTCTCGGCCACACCGCAGACTGGCCACAGCCGAGATGTCTCGGCCACCCCCCAGATTGGCCACGGCGGAGATGTCTTGGCCACACCCCAGATTGGCCATGGCCCAGATGTATAGGCCAAACCCCAGCCGAGGGCCGACCATGGGTTTTTTTTTTTTTCCCCAGCCGCGGCACGACGGACGGAAAAAAAAAAACAAAAAAAAACGAGAAACTTTTATTTTCTCCTTGCCGCCGCGACGCGGCGCGGCGCGACTGACCRAAAAAAAAAAAAAAAAAAAAAARACACAACCGCCTTAATGAAAACTCCGCCCTGACACCACCGCCGGCCTGAGTTACGAACGCCTTTTCTAACTCAGGCCCTGACACAGACGCCGATGCCTGTTTTTTCTGCCCATTACAAACTCCCATGTGACATAAATGTACTTCCCCCAAAAATAAAATAAAATAAAAAATCTTAATCCGTGCAAGTCAGGAAAAAAAAAAACTGTCTCTCTCTCTCTCTCTCTCTCTCTCTCTCTCTCTCTCTCTCTCTCTCTCTCTCTCTCTCTCTCTCTATCTATCTATCTATCTATCTATCTATCTATCTATATAGATAGACAGATATAGATATATAAAATAACAAAAAGTTCGACTAAGTCTACTGGTGATGGTGATGCAAGAAGCCACCCCTAGTAAACTCGTGTGCAAGTGCCCCATCTATTGGTGGGGAGCAGCACATCCCGTAAACATCATTGAAATAGTAGATCTGTGTACCATAAGTATTGGGGGAACAGAACTGCCTCTTCAGTCCCCATTGGGACTGCCAGATGTGAAGTGAAAAACCAGCCACCCTGTTCCCCCCCACACCTAGTCTGAGAATCAAACAGTTCTATTTGGCCAAACCAGTGTACTTCCACCAAAACCAGCTCAGCAGGGGGAAATGGATCCCAAAAAGCAATACAGTCTCTGAGAACAGCCCCAGGTGGCAGCATAAACCAGTTCCGGAAAACCAATTGGAAGTCCTGCTTGACAGGACCCCCTCACTCTTCCGCCCCAGGCCATTGCACCTCCCCAGGGACCGCTCAGTTCATTCCCCCAGCCAGTCTTTGTGAACTTTTGAATTGTTTGATTTATGTCTTTTCTTTGACATGTGTGAACCTGATCAATTTCTGTTTGGTAACCTCCCAATTTGTTCTGATTTCTGTTCGGAAGATTTGTACTGTGTAATCTGCCAATTCAGCACCCTCCAGGGATACCTGTCCAGTTGATGTACCTCAGTGGTTACAGCACCTGTGATACGCAACCTCACGCCCCCTCGCGGCTTCCCGTACTGGGTCGCCGATCAGAGTTCTAGGAGGGGCGTGGCCGGGGATTTTTGGCCGTAGGGGTTGGGTCTCCCAGGCGGAACGGGAGGCTCTCGTTTCGTGCCAGAGGTTACACCGGAGTCGAACTGTCGTCGCGAAGTCCCGTGGGGGTCGGATCACTTCGGAGCGATAAGATCAGAAGGGTTTCCGCAAAAACGAGCTGCCGGCGTGCATCAGAACGGGAAAAGGCATCAAGGGGAGGGCCATGGCGGCGGAAGACAGAAACACCGGCCGTCATGGGTTTGAGGGATAGGTGGTGGGTTCGAAGCCCTCAGGCCTCGTCGTCGACCTCATAAAGTGACCGGACCGTCGGGGTTTTGCTGTAGAGGTGGTTGGTTCGAGGCCTTCAAGCCTCGGAGTCGGACTCGCAAAGTCCGCGCGGAAGTTTCCGAGAGGGTGAAGCGGCGGGAGGACTCACCGACATCCGAATTCGAAGTTGCGCGGGTCGCGCCCCCGCATTACGGGAGAGCTCGGGGAAACGTGTCGCTCCCTCGTAACCCAGGACCAAGCGTCGCCAAGAACACGAGTCCCCCTGGCGACACCAGCGACAATCAAACTGCGGCCGCCACGCGACGTGAGCGGCCGACCAGGGCAACACAGTCAAACCCGCATAAGGCAATATTAGAGTGGGGGAATCAAAGCGATCAATCAAGACAAACCCGTTCCCCCTTATATTACACGCCCGAGGCGGGTCTCGCCAACACACTTGCTCCATCCGTCTCAGCGCGCGCCGTACGTCCGCATCGCAGTAGACGCTGTCGTCATCTGCAATGGGGAAGGTCGGTAACGAGATGAGACGATTGGAGGTGCGTGAGGAACACGGGCAAGATCCCGCGCTCCCGGTCATCCGAACCAACACCGACTCCATACAACACTCGATGCAACCCTTCTCTCTCAAAGTTGGTGCGTCGGGAGAAGATGGCGAAATCTAAGCTCTCTTCCCCTTGCAGGGGCGTCGACCGCGCGCGCGCGGACGCCGGCGGTTGACGTCACCGGTGCGGGGACAGGAAGTTCAAAAAGCGATTACTACCAGTTCAAAAAGAAAGGCGAGAGAGGGAGAGAGAATGAGTTACACGAGACTGCACGTGCGCGCAGGAAGGGCCGCGGAAGGGAGGGGAACAACGGGATTAACACGCTCATACTCCTAAGCAGACGGTCCTCCAGTTCTGTTCCCCCGTCCCCGCCCGGATAAGTACATACACACATGCATGCATGCAATCAACAACCCTTGACAGGACATCCAATCATCCATAGACCTTTGACATCACTCATGCACGCAACAAGCTCCCATCACTCGGGGCCTCACACACACGTCATGCATGGACAAAGCAGCAGTGGAGATAAAAGCGAGTCCTTCTTGTACACAAAAATTCTCAATTAACTGCCGCCCCCAGGCGCGGCCTTCAAAACTTCCCAAGACCACCGACCACCATAGCCACAAGGCCCTGTCGCGGCCGGCGTCCAATCCCCACCACTGCTCAGTCCCTCCGACTGCTTCGCCCCGAGACTACCGCGGGTCCACCCCGCGTCGTCACTCCGCCCGTCCTTGGGCTTGTCGAGCCTGTTCGGCGTCGCGGACTTCGCGCATAGCTCGCGCAGCATTGCAGCCGAGATCAAAGAGGAGGAGAGGAGAGGGTTGCGCGGATTTATAGCGCGGCAGGCGGCGGGTTGTCAGCGCGAGGTGCGGGCAGCACAGGGTGTAGATGAGCAGGACAGGAGAAAGGTGGGGAGTTAGAGGGTTCGACCCGCGGGATTGCGTGGTCCTACGTGATTGGGTTGTTCGTTCAAGCGGTGCGTGGTTTCCCGCTCTCCACATTGATCCGAGCATCCCAACTACGCAGCCAATCACTTCGCGGAAGAAGACGGGGTAAGGATCAAGCAAGGCGTTGGGGAAGACGAAGAGTCTGGCCTGAGGGAAACGTGCGCAGCAAGAAAGGAAGATGGCGCGGGGATGCACAGCAAGTAACGGGGGTGCGAGACGCGCGAAGAAATCGGAGCTTAGGAGTGCACGCGCAAAAATTTCAAAAAGTCCCAACCGAAACCGTTTCTTGGTTTTCATACCGCGGCCGCTATTCGCCCGCGCGGGAGTTATAAGCCAAAAAAAATGAAAAAGCCGTTTCAAAAAGAAAACAAAGGCAAAAAGAAAGAAAAACCCCTTTTTGTTCACATCCGTACTTCGGGGCTTCCGGGGGATTTTTCCTCAGGGATACGGCAAGCCGCGTGGTACGGGTCTGAGCTTATCACATCTGTGATACGCAGGGGGTTCCGAAAAATTAGCAGTCTCCCGACTGCTGATGTCATCATATTTTGGATGCTCGGGCGGCCTCTTCTTCGTCAGCTGGCTCGAGCATCTCCTATCCTACTTCGATGCATTTCGCATCGTCAGCCATCTCCCTCTTACTATACATTCGATCGGGCGGCCCCTTCATCGTCAGCTGGCCCGATCAGTAAGTAGTCCACTCAATTTTTTTTATTTATTATTATTATTTTTTATTACACAGCGTGTCTCGACGCGCGAACTTTGGTCATAGGAGAAGAAGACGATGAAGAGAAGGAGAAGGAGAGAAGAGGGGAGAGGTAGACGAGGGTGATTAGAGGAAGTGATCGATGTCGGGATTGAGAGGGGGCGGAATAGGTGGAAGAAAAGCAGCCATTGCCGCGGGAGTCGTCGGTGCGTCTTCCTCATGGAAGTGGTGCTGGACGAACGAGGGATAGAGGAAGGCCCCCGGCACATGAGACAGGACACGTGGCGCCAAATCCGCCACCGCTCGCACCACTCGCTTGCGCACCGATCGGGGTCCTGGACCCGTCATCACCACATGAGTCTCGGTGTAAGGCCGCCGCTCCTGCTTCTGCGCCGCGAAGACAAGGAAGTGGTACACCACATTGGGACGCTGCCCGGCTCGTAGATGAGCGTCCCTGCCAGTCGCGCCGCAATACACCCTTGAAAAGGGGGTGTCAGATATGGCTCCCACGCCGGATCAGGGTGCGGCGCCCCCGCGATGGCCTCGAGCTTGATGGTGGTGGGCTCCACCATGAAATCCACCTCTGTCGGATGGACCGTCCGGCTCGGAGGAACTGCCAATGTCAATGATCAGGGCACTCCAGGGTGGCCGGTGGAAGCGGAGAGGTCCCGCGAGGACGGGCGGTCTGGATACGGGATCCGGTAATCCCATTCGGCTTCCTCCTCCGGCTGCTGCGGCTGATGGCCCGGCTCCATCAAGATTGAGATCGGGCACGCGCGGGAAGGGCGGCGATGGCACGACAGTCTCCTTAACCAGCGTCCCCGCACTCCCAGGCACTGGGTCAAGATTCCGCGTGCGCACGGGCTGAACCACCTCCTTGCCGCCGCCGATTCTGCTGCTCTGCGCTCCTGGCGACGAGTGGCGTCTCTTCCTCTTCGGCGTCTTCTTGGGGGCCTTTGGGCGCCGGTCTGGGATACGACGAGGGAGGCCGCAACGGCTTTTCCTCCGGGAAGCCCTTCAACCTCTCCTCGCGCTGCGCAATGTAATCCAGGATGACGACCGCGTTGTACGTTCTCCGCGGGGAAGCCGCCGTCCGCAATCGTGGCTGGATCTCTTCCTCGCTCGCGATCACTTGTGTTGAACCCCCCCACACCACCGCCAAGCATTCACCCTTGCACGCCTCGTAGTTTGACTGCGCCTGACTCAGTGTTTTCGACGCATATTCGATGACATGCTCCCTTCCATCCGTTCCTTGCTGAGTCAGCACCGCCGATATCGCCTGCGGCTGCCAGTCGGTATGCAGCGCAAACTGTCGTGTCGGATCCGGACGCGCCAACACAGGTGCCGATGTCAGAGCCTCCTTGAGTGCCCGAAAAGCCGCCTCGCATTCCGGCGTCCAGATCAGCTGCTCCTCCTTCTTCAGCAGGTTCGGCAGCGGCTTGGCGAGGAAGGCAAAGCTCCGAATGAAGTGTCGATAATAAGAGGCCAGCCCTAGGAAGGCTCGAACCTGAGTGAGCGTGACCGGGGCCGGGGCTTCTCGAACCGCTGCTACCTTCCTGGGATCCGGTTTCAGTCCCTCGACCGTGACGATGTAGCCCAAAAAGGAAATTTCGGACAAAAAGAACTCGCTTTTCTCCAGAGCCACTTTGAACCCCGCATCTTTCAACGCATGCAACACCCATTCGACATGTTCCACATGGTACTCGTAGGTTTTGGAAAAGACCAAAATTTCATCCATGTACACAATCACACAGAAGTTTATCAACGGCTGTGTCAAACGGGTTTTGTTAACGAACTCGGCGAAGGCCATATTCATGGCCCGCTGGAATGTTGCGGGGGCGTTGCAAATTCCCATGGGACACCGGATCCATGGCCACGTGCCCTCGAATAGGACAAAAGCGGTTTTGGGCCGGTCTTCTGGTCGGACTGCGACGTGGTGAAAACTGTGTCGGATATCGAACATTGAAAAAACCCGAGCGGACCCGATAGCATCCAGCAGATCGTCAACCCGCGGCAGCGGATAAACATCTTTGGTAGTAATAGCGTTTAATTTGCGGTAGTCAATACACACTCGGACTGAACCTTTTCGGTTTGGCACGAGGACCACGGGAAATGACCATGGTCCCAGTGATGGTTCAACCCACCCTAACCGCTCGAACTCCCGTACCCTGTCCAAGGCCAGCTGTCTTTCCTTTAGGGAATAACGGTACGGTCGGCAATGTATTGGCGCGCGATCGCCGGTATCAATCGCGTGTTGGATCAGGTGGGTAAGTCCTATATCATGGTCCTGGATACTGACGGCCTCTGGGTAGGCCCGTATAACTGCCAAAAGAAAGCGTTTGTAGTCGTCAGGCACATGGACCGGCAGCCGGACGTCCACGTTTCCCTCAGGGAGGGAGATCGTCGACGTAACCATGGGGACTGCCGCGTTGGCTTCGGGTGAGGCACCAAACAGAGAATTGTCGGTCTTTGCCGAAAGTACGGTCGCGATAAGTTGACTGTCCGCGGGGCTTATCGGTTCATTTTCCATGTCACTATCGTCCTCGAGCTCGGTTTCAGCCGAGGGTTCCACTGAAAAGACCTGTATCAGTTCCTTCGGCCTCCATCGATATTCCCTCGTCCGGGGTTGAAATGACACCCCTTCCTTCAAGAGCAGGGCGACTTTTGCGTTTGTAAGCAGGGGCCTGGGAGGCCGAAAAGTTAAATCGCACAAACCCTTGAGCTTCGTAAACCTTTTGGGTAGGGGGTCCGTCCTAAGATATAAGGGCGCAGGGGGTTCTGAAAGGTGAGTTATTCGCGACACCCTCAGCAGGGGTTCCCCCTACACCGCTGAGGAGAACGCGTGCGACCAATCGGACTCGCTCCGAACTATTTCCAGGGGTTCTCGTCGCCAGGAATGGCGCCACCGATCCTGAACCCGGATCGGATACCGGTCGGGAACATCAGTCTCCTTTGTTTCCGACGAGATTTCATTTTCGCCTGGTGATAGGCGTCGGATCATGTTGATTTGATGGGCTTTCGTGGTGATTCGAGGCGCCGGTTGGGTGCGCATATGCACCGCCAATCTCATTGCAATGGTATCGTTTGTGGTTTGAGGTGGGCCGATGTGAGCACCAACTTACAACTGTCAAAGTGCATTCGCGCTCCTACCGCCGCCTGCCATGGAATGCCTAGCAGAACATCATACGCCTGTACATCCAGCACGATTGCGTCGCACAAACAATGCACCCGCCCCACCCGTATAGGCACGTTTGTTATCCACCCCTTACAATGAATGCTGTCTTCCGTAGCAGATATATACAGTTCATCTGGTCGGAGGGGCTGAACCTGTCCTTCCCTTCCCAATCGTTTCGTCAATCTCCAAGAAATGGCGACCGCTGACGATCCCAAGTCTAGGATGGCGGCCGAGGGGTTTCCCCGGACCTCGCAGTCACACTCAACGCTTTTCCAGGTTATAGGATAGGCTCGGAGGAATACCTCGGGTTTTTCCGAGGCAGAATCTACGGTCTGGATCATTCCTATCTGGTTGGCTTCGTGCACCTTTGAGGTCGAGGGCTGTGACTCTTCGTTTGGGGGTAGGTCTCGTAGGACCGGCTCTTTGCCCCTTCGACTTTCCTCGAATCAGCGCCTGTTTTTGAGGCATCGTTCGATCAACTTTTCATTAGCCGCTTCGGAAATGGTTAGCAGATAGGGAATAGGGACGGGGATCCGTAGATCCAGAGCCTTCAATGCATCCAACACGTCGATGTGACCGTCTTTGTACTCAGGGCCAGGGGCCATGAGATCTTCGAACCCCGGTCGCCAAGGCCCGAGGTCGCTTTCCTCGGTAATCCTTTGGACGTGACGTATCACTCCAATGATCCCGGGTTCGAACATCGCCGCAGCCATGTACTCATCGGGCCCTATCTCGGTGGCGGCAGGGGTCACCATTTGCGTTGTTCCAGTATCCATCACCGTGGCTACCCTCCCTTGTCCTGCAGCGGTTGGAGCAGCCAGCGGGATTTGGGAAGGTCCGGTGGGCCCCGCAGGCCCACTCTGAGTTCGAGGTTTCAGACAATCTTTCGCAAGGTGGCCTGGCTGATTACAGTTATAACAGCGTAGGGGCGGGACAGCCCCGGCCAGGGCCGGTCTTATCATAGGGGCCCCGGCGGCCATAGCCGCTTGTTGCCGTTGTGCGGCGGCTATGCGTTGCTGCTGCAGGCCTTGAACAAACTCCATCAACGGGGCCACTACCATAACTAGTTTGGCCGCGACCTCTTTCATGGATACTTCTTCCTCGCCCCTGCCTCCTTGAGCTTGACTAGAGCGATGGGAGGTCGAAGCAGAGGAAGAAGCTTTCCGATCCGAGCCTTTTTTTCCCGGACCCAACCCGAAGCGATCTTCGAACATTCGTGTCGTAGCGGAGTAGTTGTTGCGTCGAACACCCGAAGGGTCGTCTTCATCGGATTCTGAGTCCAGACCCACATCGTAATTTTTTTTCCCGTACTTAATGGCGTACTGAATTAACTCCGTCAGGGAATGTTCTATAGGGTTGCATTTCTTGCGGATCTTTTCCACAGGCGAGAATCTGACAATCCTCTGACGAAATCAGTCCGTACCATTTTCTCGTCCACCCCGGAGCGTTTGGCTAGGTACGTAAAACGTTCAGCATATCTAGCCAAGGTCTCCCGAGGCTGCTGCGTGTATTCCTTTATTAGACGGAGGCATTGATCTGGTGCGATGTGATCAAATCTGTCGAGAAATTTCCTCTGGAAGGCTAACCAATTAGTGAAGGGGTTCTGTCCATACCACTCAAAAGCGGTTCCGATTAACCTTCCGGGAATTCGTTCTCGGAGCAACTTGTCCGACCAGCCCTTGGCTTTCAAGGCAGCTAGGGTCGGTATCATCTTCGGAGAAAATGGGAACTTCGGAGGGAGGAGGTACAAAGTATAGGGGATGATTGCCATCCCCGCGTGGTTATCGCCGTCGTTTCCACCCCGAATTTCGGGTTCCACCATCGCGGGAGGCGGATCTCGAGCTCGGCCTCTCGCTCGGTTCTGATTGCTATTTGCGGGCCGCCATCAAAGGGGAGCCAGCCTACTCAAAAATGAGAAAAATTAAAAAAAAAAAAAATCAAAAAGGAAAAAAAAACTCTTAAACAGGGTAATCGTCCTAGGAAAACCTCGGAGCCGAAACGAATCAGCTCTGATACCAACCTCACGCCCCCTCGCGGCTTCCCGTACTGGATCGCCGATCAGAGTTCTAGGAGGAGCGTGGCCGAGGATTTTTGGCCGTAGGGGTTGAGTCTCCCGGGCAGAACGGGAGGCTCTCGTTTCGTGCCAGAGGTTACCCCGGAGTCGAACTGTCGTCGCGAAGTCCCGTGGGGGTCGGATCACTTCGGAGCGATAAGATCAGACGGTTTTCCGCAAAAACGAACTGCAGTCGTGCATCAGGTCGGGAAAAGGCATCAAGGGGAGGGCCATGGCAGCAGAAGACAAAAACTCCGACCGTCATGGGTTTGAGGGATAGGTGGTGGGTTCGAAGACTTCAGGCCTCGTCATCGGCCTCATAAAGTGAACGGACCGTCGGGTTTTTGCTGTAGAAGTGGTTGGTTCGAGGCCTTCAAGCCTCGGAGTCGGACTCGCAAAGTCCGCTCGGAAGTTTCCGAGAGGGTGAAGCAGCGGGAGGACTCGCCGGCATCCGAATTCAAAATTGCGCAGGCAGCGCCCCCGCATTACGGGAGAGCTCGGGGAAATGTGTCGCTCCCTCGTAACCCAGGACCAAGCGTTGCCAGGAACACGAGTCTCCCTGGCGACACCAGCGACAGTCAAACTATGGCCGCCACGCGGCATGAGCGGCCGACCAGGGCAACACAGTCAAACCCGTATAAGGCAATATTAGAGTCAGGGAATCAAACCGATCAATCAAGACAAACCCGTTCCCCCTTATATTACACGCCCGAGGCGGGTCTCGCCAACACACTTGCTCCGTCCGCCTCAGCGCGTGTCGTGTGCTCGGATCGCAGTAGACGCTGTCGTCATCTGCAATGGGGAAGGTCGGTAGCGAGATGAGACGATCATCTGCAATGGGGAAGGTCGGTAGCGAGATGAGACGATCGGAGGTGCGCGATGAACACGGGCAAGATCCCGCGCTCCTGGTCATTCGAACCAACACCGACTCCATACAACACTCGATGCAACCCTTCTCTCCCAAGGTTGGGGCGTCGGGAAAAAATGGCAAAATCTAAGCTCTCTTCCCCTGACGGGGGGGTCGACCGTGCGCGCGCGAACGCCGGCGGTTGACGTCACCGGTGCAGGAATGAGAAGTTCAAAAACGATGACTACCAGTTCAAAAAGAAAGGAGAGAGAGAGAGAGAGAGAGAGAGAGAGAGAGAGAGAGAGAGAGAGAGAGAGAGAGAGAGAGAGAGAGAGAGAGAGAG